AGAGTCTCTTGGACAGCAAGGAGATCAAACTAGTCAGTCCTAAAAGAAATCAACCCTTATTATTCATTGGAAGGGCTGCTGCTGAAGCTGAAGCTCCAATCCTTTGGCTACCTGATGCAAAGAACTGACTCACTGGAAAAGACCCTGATGCTGGGGAAGACCAAAGGCAGGAGGAGAAGGGGATGACAGAGGATGAGATGGTTTGATGGCATCACCAATTCAATGGACATGAATTTGGGCAAGCTCTGGAAGATGGTGAGGGACAGGGAAGCCTGGCGTGCTGCAGCCCATGGGGTTGCCAAGAGTTGGACACAACTTGGCAACTGAACAACAAGGGCTGCTTGTGATGGTTTGCAACCATGAAGAGAGGACCTATCTAACAAAGAAGCCAAAGAGATTCAGGAAGATACAAGAAATAGAGGGAGACACAGATTTCTTTTGACTTTACTTGGACCTCTGGGTCAAACTATGCCTAAGTCTGTTATCCTTTTGATTCCTCCATTATATGATCTTATAGCTTCCCTTTTGCTTATACCAGTTTCAGTTGGGTTTCTGTCACTTGTGATACAGAGTTCTGACTCATACTTGTGTAATTTAACCTGATTTAAGTTTCCCCTCCTGAATTTATAATTAGAAGCCATCTCTTTTTTAAAAACTGAGCATGAAGATTGTAGCATCTTGTTTGTCACAAAAATCCACATTTCATTGGTAAAAGAAAAACACATTTCATGGTGGGAGGGCTTCTCAGAGGTTCATTTCAGGCATACATTGGAGCTCCTTGTGGTGGGAGTGTGGACAGTTCAGCCCTTTGTGATAGTAGATTGGACATTAGATGGATGGGGTTGTGTCATTTAAAACTGATGTAGTCATATCAACAATGAATGCTAATTCATACAATATTTTTAATAGTTACATTTTCAGTTGTAAGACTCATTTATCCATTCAACATTTTGAAATCTCAACTCCATGGATGAGTGTAGTTAACTTTAAACAAAGGAGTGGCTATACATCTCTACTATTTACAAAGTGTATTGGCTCCTTGTTGCCTAGAAAAATAAAAGTCAAATTTTGGTCCTTCTCAGTCAAATCTTAACCTGCCTTTGAAGCCATTGTTCCTGCCATACTTTCTCAGAGAGTTTGTGTGACAGGCATACTGTGTTCTTGATCTCTTACCAAGCCCTGGTACCCCTACTCCCTACAACCGCCTTTGCCTCTGCTCACCTGAATTCCTTGGATTGGGTGCACTTCTTTGTGTACCCATTTTTCAGGATATGGATGAAGTGAAACTTAATCCATGACCTATTCACATTAAGATCAAACCCTCCTTTAAACCCTGAATGCATTGATTTTCACATTCCTCTTACTAGACTTCTCAGGTCATAAAAAAGTTGATTCGTATTTTTCCCTTTATTATGCTGTGAGGCATATCTCTTTTATTTTCAGTGCCCCAAAGAAACTAACTCGGTCCATTCCTCTAGCATATTCTGTTGTGGCATCACTTATTTCTCTACAATATTTGTGATGATTGGAGTTTTATAGTTGTTTGTGCGACTTTTGGATTAATTTGTTTCTCCTTTACTACATCAGAAGCCTAAAAGGGTCAGGATCAAGATGAATTTTGTTTGCCAGTGTAACCCTCTGGCCTAACATAGTTCCTGACACATAACGGGCACTAAAAAATAATCATCGAATAGATGGGTAAAATTTTGTTGAATGAATGATTGAACATGTATTCTCCTTCAGGAATATTAGTAGTTTAAAAAGATGAACCAAAAGAAGATACTTTCTTCTAGTGGAGACAGCTAGTAATGTCAATAATAGTGGAATTTCAGGATGAAGGGTTACTTAAAAACAATGTTTGAATTTCTTCTTACAGAAAAATTGAAGAAACTACACAAAGAACTTTTAATAGTTACATTTTCAGTTGTAAGACTCATTTATCCATTCAACATTTTGAAATCTCAACTCCATGGATGAGTGTAGTTAACTTTAAACAAAGGAGTGGCTATACATCTCTACTATTTACAAAGTGTATTGGCTCCTTGTTGCCTAGAAAAATAAAAGTCAAATTTTGGTCCTTCTCAGTCAAATCTTAACCTGCCTTTGAAGCCATTGTTCCTGCCATACTTTCTCAGAGAGTTTGTGTGACAGGCATACTGTGTTCTTGATCTCTTACCAAGCCCTGGTACCCCTACTCCCTACAACCGCCTTTGCCTCTGCTCACCTGAATTCCTTGGATTGGGTGCACTTCTTTGTGTACCCATTTTTCAGGATATGGATGAAGTGAAACTTAATCCATGACCTATTCACATTAAGATCAAACCCTCCTTTAAACCCTGAATGCATTGATTTTCACATTCCTCTTACTAGACTTCTCAGATCATAAAAAAGTTGATTTGTATTTTTCCCTTTATTATGCTGTGAGGCATATCTCTTTTATTTTCAGTGCCCCAAAGAAACTAACTCGGTCCATTCCTCTAGCATATTCTGTTGTGGCATCACTTATTTCTCTACAATATTTGTGATGATTGGAGTTTTATAGTTGTTTGTGCGACTTTTGGATTAATTTGTTTCTCCTTTACTACATCAGAAGCCTAAAAGGGTCAGGATCAAGATGAATTTTGTTTGCCAGTGTAACCCTCTGGCCTAACATAGTTCCTGACACATAACGGGCACTAAAAAATAATCATCGAATAGATGGGTAAAATTTTGTTGAATGAATGATTGAACATGTATTCTCCTTCAGGAATATTAGTAGTTTAAAAAGATGAACCAAAAGAAGATACTTTCTTCTAGTGGAGACAGCTAGTAATGTCAATAATAGTGGAATTTCAGGATGAAGGGTTACTTAAAAACAATGTTTGAATTTCTTCTTACAGAAAAATTGAAGAAACTACACAAAGAACTTTTTCCCCACCTTTAATCATTGGAGAGTAAATTGTAAACATAGAGCCCATTCATTCCCCAGTACTTTGGAGTATACTTGACCTAAATGAGGACATACTCCTGTATAATTAGAATATAACCATCAACATCACAAAGTTAACGTTTATAAATGACTATCATTTAATTCATAGACCACATTCAAGTTTTGCTCATTGTTCCATTAATGTTGTTTATAGTGAATGGATCTAATCTTGGGTAACACATTGCATTTGATTGTCCTATCTCCTTTTATTTATTTAAATGTGTTTGTTAGCTTGACTTATAAAACAGATCCCTATAGTATGTAGATTTTGACTTGAACTCTTGCCCTAGGCCCTGCATATGTTACTGGTGGGATTTTCTCAGATCTCCCTGTCTACACCACTCCTTATGTAAGTCTCTAAATTTATCATTATCTTGAACTCTAGAGACAGCTCAGAGATAATTTTCAAATTCTCTGCATTGGAGAGGATTGGATGTGTTTGTCCATTTAGCAGCCATTGCCATCTGCTTCATAATCACACAGCCTTGTGGACTGTCAGGGCACTCCTGTGTGCAGTGTCTTCTTTTGGTTCAGGTCTGATGGCAGTTGACAGTTAAAGCTTGGCTTTAAGCATGTTGCCTTTTCCTACTCCAGGGAGTCTTCCCAACCCAGGGATTGAACCCACATCTCCTGCATCTACTGCCCTGACAGGCAGATATTTTACTGGAGCCACCTGGGAAGCCCCAACTAACAAGGTTAATACGGTTAAAAATGAGTCTTATCATTTAGAGTTGCCCAGTTTAATGTTTAATTATCTGTTCATGGGTTGGTGTTGATCTGCAGTATACAATGGTATTTTGTGCCACTAGCCCTTCTAACAAGTTCTTGTGGAATCTAAATTTAGACAGTGTAGCATGTAAGTGTTTCTAGAATGGAAACTCTTCCCATTCCAGTAAGGAGCTAGCTGATGTTTAAGAACTGTCTCCACTCTACTCTCCTTCCTACTGTCCCTTTGATCATACAGTTTTTTTCTTATCATAAAACCAATACATGTTTATAGAAGGAAAGAAAAAGATAAGTGAAGAAAAGAAAATAGCAGCTCCAGAAATTCTATCAGGCAGACAGTCACTGATTACATATCAGAATATCTTTAGAATCACTTGGGGAGCTTTTAAGGAATAACAATGACTATGTTTCTCTTCCAAAGATTCTGATTCCAGTGGTCAAGAGTGCACTTGGGCAGGGGTCATTATATGGGTCTAATGTTCAGGCAAAAACAATAGATCTGGGCATTTAGTATGTATATAAAATGTATATCTTACCAAAATGGGCATTCTATAATGCAGTTTTATAACCGGATTTTATCATTCAACAGTTTATTACCAACAACTTGCCTTAGAAGGATGAGTTATCTAAGCATGATGTTTTCACCCAGGCCAAGGGACAGAGCAGGAGTGGGGATTGAGGACAGGGGTGGAAGCAGAAAATGCTTCAGAAAGCTCACTGGTGCCAAGAAAACAGAACCACACTTGGTTTGGATTATGACAAATGAAACAAAGACTGGAATTCTCTGGCTATAAAGCTGTGATTTTCAGTGGAACTGTCTCTAAATAATTGCTTACTAGCCATAGACACAGCTGGATGTTCTTCCAATTACTTATTTCTCATTCATTCCTTCTTTCAGTCAACACATACAGAACACTACTTAGGTATACTACTAGAGATATAAAGATGGATAGGATTTTGTTCTTCAATTCAAGGAGTTTATAATCTCAGAAGAGCTGAGAGTGTACAAACACTTGTATGTGTATTTATTTAGCACTTAGTCTGTTCTACATACTCTTCTAGGCACACTAAATAAATTTCCTCAATAAATGTTCCCCACTACTTGATTAAATCAGTAGTATTATTACCCTTTTCTACCCATGAGAAGACTGAGGCCTGAGAGGTTACATTGTCTGATCCAGAGTTCAAGCTCTTAACCTGTATACTCCGCTACATCAAAGAATATGCCAAAGGACCATATGTACCATAGTAAGGTTCATAAAGGAGGAGATGATGAATTCTAGTGTGAGGAATGAGGAGGAGGAGCTTCAGGAAAGACTTTGGAGTCAGAAAGATTTTATTTTATTTTATAAGGGAAAATACCATAAGTAGGGAGGATATGTAAATACTTGCCATGTATATCTATAATGCTGTTTGTCGGGAATATTTTGTTTCCTCTCTGCATCTCCTCTGTCTTCATAGCCCATGAGAGCTGCAGGAAGACCAACTGAGTTAGTCTGGTATCCCCTAGAGTGTGGACCCATTCATGCTTCAGTACCAGGTGGGGCACCGGAGCCCCCCTGGCCGCACTGGAACTCCTGCCTGGGAGAAAAGTCACATGGCACCTTTGGATTGGGGGCAGATAAAAGTGTGCGCAAAAGGAGGGTAGCATCACCTCAAGGTCCTTCTCCTAAGGGAAGACCAGTGAACCAGGAACTGAAAAGATGATACTCAGGCGAAAATCCAGTTTGTTGTGCGATCTGAGGAAACTGCTTGAGGAGTTCTGATCAATAGACTTATTGAGAGAGAGATTCCAGAATGCCTGCTGTACAACCCACGTTGCTGGAGGTGGCCTGGCTGTCTGGAAGAGGATACAGGTTAGAATTTACTGGACTGTCAAGCAGAAGTAAGCACAGAGATCTATCTTGCCAATAGAGGGGCAGAAAATCACATGGTGAGAATTAGAAAGTAGACTACTCCTAAAGAGTGTTCAAAAAGTTTTTACATACACTGATAATCATCTTTAACAGGGTGAATCCTGGCCTTGGTTTTGTGAACATATAGCTGGGTTTGTTTATGCATGTATAAAAGTAGGAACTGTAAACATATGAATTTCTCTGTTAAAATGTTTTGTATCAAAGGAAAAACAAGATCTTGCCCCAAATAGGTTTAAAAATTAAAGAAAACTTGGTTCATAAGAGTTGAAAGTCTAATATTAGAAAGACTTCAGGCTTGGTTGATTCAGTACCCAAGGAATTTGGTTATATTAATTAATGTAGGAAATGCTATGTGCCATGTCTTTGTCATTTGTGCTACTGTAACAGAATGTCATGAGCTGAGTGAATTAAAATCAACAGAAATCTGGAGATTGGAAGTCCAAGATGAGGGTTCCAGCATGGCCAGGTTCTGTTGAGGGCTCTTTTTTTGGGTTGCAGAATGCCAAGTTCTTATATTTTCACAAAGCTGAAAGAGAACGAGCTCTCTGGCCTCTTCTCATAAGGACACTAATCCTGTTCATGAGGGCTTCACCCTCATGACTTAATTACCTTGCAAAGACCTCACCTTGAATACCATCACACTGGAAATTAGATTTCAGCATATGAATTTGGGAAAGACACAAACATTCAGTCTATAATAGGCTACAACAAACTATTTGTGAGATCTCAAGGGCTTCACACAATACAGCAGCACTGTTCATGTATGCAGCATTCTGTGAAAATGGAGGCTTCTACTACATCCAAGGACCTTGCCTCCTTTTATGCTATAGTCCTGCCATCTTGAACATGGCTTCACAGTCATCCCGGCACAATATGTTCTACAGTGGAGAAGCAGAAGATTGTGAAGGATCAAGCAGGACATTTTCCAGCCCAGGTCCAGAAGCTGTAAACACCATTTCCACCTGAAATGCACTAGTCAGGACTCAATCCTGTGGCACTGCCTAACTTCAGGGGAGGCTATTAACTATGGTTTCCTTGGTGCCTAGGAAGAAAATAAAATAAGTTTGGTGAGCTTACTATCTCGACCTCATGAGTTCTTTCCATTTTTCTGCTTTGACATTCTCAAAGTCTTCTGGTAGCTACCTTCTCTGGTAGCAACATGGCTGCAGCAGTTCCAGGTGTCACATCCTGTCACCATGGCTAAGGAAAGAAAAGAAACTGTCTCTGTTTTTGGCTGTCTCCTTTGAATGAGTTCACCTTTTCCAGAAACCCCCCAGCAAACCTTGCCTCACTTCTCATCGACCATCAATTGCTCCTACCTGCTTGTATCACTGGAAGGGGAATGAGATTCCTCTTTGACAAATCAAGTCTGTTTTTGGAGCTGGTGAGAGGGGACGTGTCCTCTGAAGCATGGAGTTGCTTGTACAGTTGGATTGCTAAAAATGTCAGGGTTCTATTAGAATGCAAAAGAGGGAAATATTGCTGATTACAAGAACATCAGTGTCTGGTGTATTTATTCTGCATATTCGAGAGGGACTAGATAGGTTTCTCTGGGAGATGACTGAGAAGGGCAGTAAGAAGAAAGGTTAGTGATATGGCAGTTCTGAGTGACTGTCCTCCTGGTCCCCAGTCCTCTAATAAATTCTTCCTTGCTTCCAGCATTGCTTTTGCAGAAACTGGCAAAGGACTGAATTTCTCATCTGGATTGACAAAGGGTAACAGAACACACATGGAAGCTGGGGCTATAGGAGAGATGGGAAAGTGGCAGAAGACACTGGGAGGGCAATGTAATTGTGAGTTAAAACTGAGGTTGTCTGAATCTCAGATGAAGACAAGTCTCAGCAGCAGCCATGCAGGTAACAAGAGGATAGCTGTGGAATTTCGGTTTTTTGTTTTTTTGACTGCGACCGGCCTTAGTTGTGGCACATGGGATCTTCAATCTTTGTTGTGGCATATGAGCTCTTTAGTTGTGGCATGTGGGATCTTCAGTCTTAATTGGGGCATGAAAACTCTTAATTGCATCAACTAAGTTAATTGCATCAGGTAACTCTTAATTGCATCTAGTTCCATGACCAGGGATTGAACATACATTGGGAGCATGGAGTCTTAGCCCCTTGACTTGACCCACTTCCTTGGATCACCAGGGAAATTCCAGAAATTGTAAGTAACACTAAAGAAAACACCTTAGTGTTTTTAAGGAGGAGACTTACGATTTCTGGAAATGTTTGGTATTTTAATGTGCCATTTACTAACTACCAGATACATATTGATTCTCCACCACTACTTTAATAAAATAAGACACAGAAGTGAAGAAATTTAAGACTGTCTAGGAGGGTGAATTTCCAAAGATCTGGATGTGAGCTGGGGCTAAATTGAGTGTAATTTACCCTCTAGGAAATAATGCAGTGATGTTCTTCGGTCAAGGAAATTTCAGTGATGAACATTTCCAGTGGTCGTCCAGTGAAGTGGTGACAAACCCAGAGGTCTCTCCAGACAAATGTCCCAAAGGCTTTGATGTGCCTGTGAGTGACCAAAGCATGTTCCTTGGGAGGTTCTGTGATGTAGAGGTTAAAAGTATGGTTTCTGAGGTCAGAGAGTCCTGGGTTCCAAGTTCTGTTCTACTTCCAGCTCTTTGACCTTGGGTGGCTAACACAACCTTTTTAATCTCATCATGTATCCTGTATTAGGGTCATTATACTGTTTCTAAGAGGTGTTTAAAGTAAAAATACTAAACAGGGCTCCTGGATGGTAAAAAGTACTTAATAAATTCCAGCTGATCTTGTTACTATAATTTAGTTTATAATACAGTAGCTACAGTGGTAGAAACAGATGCATTTTCTGGATTACAGAAAGGTGAATAAAATCATACAGCACAGTGAAAGAAGATACCCTCAAACAACTTTTTAAGAAGACTATATTGTCAGGTCTCTAGCATGGTTGGAAGTCAAAATAGAGGATATAGTGCCCTTCTTGGGAAGAGGAGCTCTGCTTTTAGAGATACTTGACATTTTTTTGTGTGGGATTTTAATGAGCACACATGGTGATTTTTGTCACTATGCATTTAGCTAAATGTTTTTGGTTTTTTTTGCATTTAGCTAAATGTATTTTAGACAATTCCTAAGAATTTATTCAAGTAAAACTTCTATATGTGTCTAGATGAAAAGATTGATCTGCCCCTCATTCATTCATTCATTCCTCCATTCATTATCTGTCTACCTATCTATCTCTGTCCATCCATAAATTCATCCATCCTTTTATCTATCCCTGGCACTGAGTAATGTCCATGGTTTATAAACGATAAAGAATTTCCTGTCCTCAAACTCCTTGCAAACTATGAGGGAGAAATGCAAGTATACTGAACATTAGGGCTAAAGTATTCATGGAGTACTTGAAAGCAGCACAGAACTGTATTCATTCCAGATTTGCAGTGGGCAAAGAGGGTTGGCCTGCTCCTGAGAGAAAGCTGTAGTTGATTGCTCCTCAAGGTGTGGTCCTTGAAGTCAGAGCCTCATCATTACCTGGGAACTTGTAAGAAATGCAACATCTTAGACCCCATTCCTGATCTTCTGAATCAGAATCTGCATTTTGACAAGTCCCTCAAGCAATGTGATGCCCATTAAAGTTTGTAAAGGAGTTCTATGAGTTATTCATCAGGGTGCATGCATGCTCAGTCATATCCACCTTTTAACAACCCCATGGACTGTAGCCTGCCAGCCTCCTCTTGGCCATGGAATTTTTCAGGCAAGAATACTGGAGTGAGTTACCATTTTCTTCCTCCGAGGGAACTTTCAACCCAGGGATTGAACCACATCTCTTCCATCCCCTGAATTGGCAGGTAAAAAATTTTTTTAACCACTGGTGCCACCTGGGGAGCCCTATAGTACACTGGTCAGGAGCAATACTGTAAGTGGTCTTGTCAGTAATGGTCAGATCCTTAATCTAATATGTCAGATCCTTAAGCTAATCTTTTCATGCCATGAAAAGATGTTCATTAGGGAGGTGGTATGGTCAGATTTTTTCTTTGTTTTATTTTCAGTATTTAATATTAGTATTTAATATATTTCTTTTTTAGTTGAAGTATGGTTGACATACATTAGTTTCAAGTGTACAACAAAGTCAGAACTGGGCATGGAACAACAGATTGGTTCCAAATCGGGAAAGGAGTACATCAATGCTATATATTGTCACCCTGCTTATTTAACTTATATACAGAGTACATCATGCAAAATGCTGGGCTGGATGAAACACAAGCTGGAATCAAGATTGCTGGGAGAAATTCCAATAACCTCAGATATGCAGATGATACCACCCTTATGGCAGAAAGTGAAGAAGAACTAAAGAGCCTCTTGATGAAAGTGAAAGAGGAGAGTGAGAAAAGTGGCTTAAAACTCAACATTCAAAAAACTAAGATCATGGCATCTGGTCCCATCACTTCATGGGAAATAGACAGGGAAACAATGGAAAACGTGAGAGACTTTATTTGGGGCTCCAAAATCACTGCAGATGGTGACTGCAGCCATGAAATTAAAAGGTGCTTGCTCCTTGGAAGAAAAGCTATGACCAACCTAGACAGCATGTTAAAAAGCAGAAAAAATAAATAAATAAAAAGCAGACATTACTTTGCCGACAAAGTCTGTCTAGTCAAAGCTATGGTTTATCTAGTAGTCATGTATGGATGTGAGTTGGACTAAAGAATTGATGCTTTTGAACTGTGGTGCTGGAGAAGACTCTTGAGAGTCCCTTGGACTGCGTGGAGATCCAACCAGTCCATCCTAAAGGAGCTCAGTCCTGGGTGTTCATTGGAAGGACTGATGTTGAAGCTGAAACTCCAATACTTTGGCCACCTGATGCAAAGAACTGACATTTGGAAAGACCCTGATTCTGGGAAGGATTGAAGGCAGGAGGAGAAGGGGACGACAGAGGGTGAGATGGTTAGATGGCATCAGTGACTCAATGAACATGAGTTTGAGTAAACTTTGGGAGTTGGTGATGGACAGTGAGGCCTGGCCTGCTGCAGTCCATGGGGTCGCAAAGAGTTGTACGTGACTGAGCAACTGAGCTGAACTGAATTGATTTCTAGTATCCTCATTTTTTAACGTTTTTTTTTTTTTTTCTTTTCTGCTACTACAATTGGGTGATTTTAACTACCCCATCTTCCACATTGCTCATCTGTTTTTCTGCATCGTATAATATACTGTTGGTTCCTTATAGAGTATCTTTCGTTTCACTTATTGCATTCTTTAGATCAGATTTTAAAATATTTTTTAATCTCTTTGTTGATGTTCTCACTGAGCTCAGTGAACATCTTTATGACTGTTTAAATTCTTTGTTTCATAAATTGGTTATCTCCATTTTATTTAGTCCTTTTTCGGAGGTCTTTGTCTTATCCTTTCATTTGCAAGACTTTCCTTTGTCTTCTCACGTTGCCTAACTCTCTGTGTTTCTATGTATTAGGTATATTTCCTAGTCTGGAAAGAGTGGCCTTAAATAGAATGTGTCCTGTGGGGCCCATTGGCAGAATACCTCCTGGTCACAAAGCCAGATGCTCCAGGGGTGTCCCTTGTGTTTGCCTCTCCAGGGTGGTTTGGCCACAATTGCTGTGGGGACGCTGGTGGGTGGGGTTGGCCCCCAGGCAAGGTGGCTGCAAACTCGACCTTGACTGATACAGGTTTATGAAGTGTATCTTGCTTTGCTTCATGAGATAGTAAGCCTGGTCTTTCAGTATGCTAAGTTGGAGCTCTGCACTCTGAGGTGAACAAAAGGCATACTCCCTTTCCAGCCCAGTTGTACCTAAAATGCCAGCACATTTGTTCTTTCTGCCTAAAGTTCTGTGCATAATTGAAATGCAAATAATGGCTAAGATTATTTTGCTGTGACACGTTAGATACTCCGTTAAGCAGTGTAGCATCTTAGAAATCCTCACAAAAGCCTTGCCGGAAAGGCAGTATTAATACTTGCACTTTACAGATGAGGAAACTGAAAGGCAGAGTGAAATACTGGGTTTGAATTCAGGCCATCTACAGATGCCATGCGTTTTGTAATCTGTGAGACTCCGACTTGCTACACTTTGTAGCCACGTCTCCATTGACCAAGTTTTATCAGTGTGATTGAGATGTAGTTTTGATAGGTAGAGGGTATAGAACTCTGTGTGATCTGGAGAACAGAGGTACTTAAGATCAAGAAAGAGGAGTGTGATAGTATGATGATGATGAGTTCTTATTCTTTCCTGAAAAATGGAGCAAAAAGAACCTTCCCATGTCTCAATGTGTGGCATTGTTTGTTTCCTGCTTATTTGATGATGTTAACTCTTTTAAAATTCTCTCAACACATCAAGCTTCCCTATTTATTATGATTTTAACCTTTGCAGTACCTCTCTTTGGAAATGATCCTTCTTTTCTATTCCTTTTCCTTACCCAATCAGGGTATCTTTTCTCAGAGAGAGTAAACGTCCTCAGGGAAGATTGTTCCCACCTGCTGACCTAGGTAATATGACCCTGTCATCACCTTTAATAATAATACCTTTGCTTCTGTGTCATGCAACACTGATGGTGGTTCTGTGTGAAGGAGACCGGCAGGGGGCGTAATACTTAAAAACAAAAATGTGGTAATACAAGATAAAGGGAAAGGGGGCGTCTTGGTCATTCAGGACATCAGGAATGTACCAACCCTTGGGCAAAACGGAAACTTCTGGACTAGATAAAAAGAGTTCATCAGAAAGCACAGGATAAGTAAGGGATTGGAAAAGAAACACAAAGACTGGATTTTTTAGGCATCCCTGCTGTGATGCAATCCTTAGACATATGTCCTGGCCAAAGTGTTCACCTTCTTCATCCAAAGATGGATGCTGGAGTTAGAAAACCAAATGGAAATAGATCAATTCTTAGAAGCTCTGTCCCTGGAAGAGTGAAGAACATGCCTCCAGAGGTGTCTCTGCAGTCCCTTTCTGCTTCACCTTTTCTTAGAGGGCAGCTTGGTTGCATCCTTTTTGTTTCTGTGACTTATAGAGAGTATCCATGGCTTTCTGGATCATTTTCCTACCCATCATTATTTGCTCAGAGTGCTGACTTATCAAGAGGAAAATACTAAAACCCATTTTTTTTTTTGCTAGGAATATGACTCAAAACGTGGCAGTTTGTGTATTTTTTGATGTTAGGTTCTGCCCTTACATTACATATTCCTTACAAATAACCTTTTGCAAACTGGAACCACTGACCATCAATTTTATGAGATACACTGCTCAGAAGTCTTTAGAGCATGCCACCATTTAAAAAAATTTTCTAATCTGTCTTACTGAGTTTAGTTTTAGGTTGTGATTGAAACTCTTAATTAATCTCTGCAAACATGGAGATGTGGAAAGGAACTCAGCAGAAAAGCAATTAAAGGACTCTCTCTGATTGTTTTTCCCATTAACCAAGTCTATTGAAATCACTAAGCCAGCTGTGGCAAGTCTATTTAATAACTTTCTTTTCATTTCCTGATTTCTTACTCAGTTTCTCCTGCACTCCTCATTCCTGGGCAGCCTGGATTCATTGTTTGCTATTTCCGTCCATATGCTACTTTAAAATAA